TCTCAGGGGAAAGGATAGGGGCAAGGGGTGCCCTTGATGCCACCCCTTTCCGCAGTCCCATGGGGCACAATGGGTCCCTTGCCTTCTGCCCTTCCAGGGCCAAAGTGCCCCTTCATGGTGATATATTTACCAGGCAGGCCAGATCCCTTGAGAGGATAAATATTTATTCTCCACCGCTGGATGATTTAAAGAGTGGAGAGACTCAATTGCCAGTTTCCCGGCTTAGCAAATATCCCTCTTGGTCAGCCTTTTTCTTTCCTGATGTTTGTGGAAGGGAACTTGGTTGCTTCGTCCACTGCTGATCTCCGGAAGTCTGTCGGATGCTGAAGTTTGCACACACACACACAGGGCTCTTGTGCGCACGTTGTTTGTCCAGCTGAGTGTGCCCCACATGAAAGGCCGAGGCTATTCTGCGGGGCTAAGAGAAAAAGCGCTTTGCAAAGGAACAGGGAAATAGAGCAACCGAGGGGGAGGTTGCCAAATTCCTCCCAGGGCAGGAGGCTCCTGTGCCATATGGCAGCAGGGGTGCAGCTACGGCTGGTGTCAGGAGTTGGCATCAAAAGAAAAAACCCGCAGTCGGCGCCGTTTCTGAGTGCCTACCTTGTTTTGGAGGATGTTTTTTGGGCCACATCAGACGCCTGCTGATTTCTGACCCTGTACTTGGAGTTCCCACCATGCGTCCATTACCAGTGTTGGACTAGGACTCTGGAGACCTGGCTTCAATTCCCAGCTCAGCCATGAAATCCACTGAGCAACCTTGGTCAAGTCACACTCTCTCGGCCCCAGGGGAAGGCCATGTGGCAAACCTATTCCAAATAAATCTTGCCAAGAAAACCATAGGATAGGTTTGCCTTGTGTTGTTGCGTGCCTTCAAGTCGTTTCTGACATATGGCAACCCTAAGGTGACTCTATCGTGGGGTTTTCCTGGCATGTTTCTTCAGAGGGTGTTTGCCATTGCCTTCCTCTGAGGCAGAGAGAGTGTGACTTGTCCAAGGTCACCCAGTGGGTTTTCATGGCCAAGCTGGGATTTGAACCCAGGCCTCCCAGTGTCCCAGTCCAACACTCAATCCATTACACCACGCTGGCCCTCCAGGTTTGCCTGAGGGTTGCCATAAGCTGGAAATGACTTGAAGACACACAACGACAACAACAACGACAACAACAACAACAGTTATCCCATTACTCTGTCTCACTGTGTGCACTTTTAAAGTGAGAGAGATGGAGAGAGACAAAGGTTGCGTCATCTATGCTGCAGAATTAATGCAGTTGAACACTGCTTTAATTGCCATGGCGCAGTGATATGGGACCCTAGGATTTGTAGTTTGGCAAGATATTTAGCCTTCTCTCTCAGAAAGCTCAGGTGTCCTGACAAACTACAAATCCCAGGATTCCATAGGATGGACACTTAAAGTGAGGTCAAACTGCATTAATTCTGCATGGCAGGAGCCGGAAAGTCTTGGATATTTGAAAGACCGTATCTCCCTAGATGCACCCTAGACGTCAAGCTGGATTCTTTCTGCAGTGCGGATGCAGCTTATGACTCTGGAGACCAGGGTTCGAATCTTGGCTGGACGATGGAAACCTTTTGAGTGACCCTGGGCAAGTCACAGTCTCTCAGCCTCAGAGGATGGCAATGGCAAACCCCCTCTGAAGAAACTTGCCAAGAAAGCCCCATGACAGGTTGGCCTTACGGTGTTTTTGTTATTTGCGCTTTTCCCATTTTCACAGGGGTCCTGTGCCCCTAACCCCAGTGAATGTGGAGGGACCACTGTACAAACTGGAATTAATTTGAAGACAGAGCCAGGGGGGTATGGTGCTTTGAGCGTTGACAAGGACTCCAAGAGTCCTGGGTTCGAATCCCTTCTACTCAGCTATGGACCACTCCCCTGTGTGACCTAGGGCAAGTCACACTCTCTCAGAAACTTCAGAGGAATGCAATGGCAAATTTCTTCTGACTACATCTTGCCAAGAAAACCCCACGATAGGTTGCCATCAGTCAGCAATGACTTGCAGGTACACAACAACAACAACAACAAGAACAACAAGAACAACAACCACCCTAGCCAACAGGGCTACTCCTGGATATATTTCTGCAGTACAGATGCACTCTAGGTGCCAATCTGGATTATTTCTGCACAGCAACACACAAGAATAATTATAAATGACAAAAAACAGTTCACAAAACTGCAGTCAAAGAAGCTGTGTTTGTGTGGGTTGTTTGCAGATTTCGATCGAACATTAGGAGGAACCTCTTGATGGCAAGAGCAATCCAGTGAGGAAACCAATTGCCCCAAAATGGTTGTAGAGTCTCCTTCTCTGATCATCTTCCAAAGGAGGCTGGACAGCTCCCTGCTGGGGATGCTTTAGCTGGAGTTGGACTTGGGGGCTTCTGGGGACTCCTTCGGTTTCTATTGCTCCGTGACTCGAACCCACAGCTAAAGCAAAGTTGACAATGTGCTTTGGCTTGCCCAGGGAAAAGTCTGCTTTGGAAGGCATCTGTTGGCTAGTGCTTCTAATAGCAACAACACCTTGAGTGGTTTTCATCTATGATTCTATGAGCCTATGATTCTATGTTTATTTTAACGTTTTTGTTTTCACTATCTTGTGTCTTGTGATATGATGCAACATGGCTGTTTATGCAAACACTATTTCTTGAGTTTAAGAAAATTAGCAAGAGGATAGTCCTCTTGATAACCAGGGAAAGCCCAGCATTTAGTATTGTAGCACACAGAGAGCCAACATGGTGCTGTGGTTTGAGCATTGGAGCAGGACTCTGGGGACCAGGTTTCGAATTCTGACTCAGCCATGAAAACCCACTGGGTGAGCTTGGGCAAGTCACACTCTCTCAGCCTCAGGGGATGGCAGTGGCAAACCTCCTCTGAAAAAAATCTTGCCAAGAAAAAAAACTGTGATAGTTTCATCTTAGGGTTGACTTGAAAGCACACAACAACAACAAGAAATTATAGCACACATCCAGTCGTGCATGTTGTCCCTGGCAAAGAAATCCCTGGAGCATCTTGAACGAATCACAGCCTCCAAAAAACCAAAACCTTAGTCCTCATTCAAGAAGGAAGAATGTAGAAGAGTGGAAGAAGACACATTCTTTGACCCAAGAGCATTTTCCTCTTGGGCATCTCCTCCTTTCCAAAAATTGCTAGCTAAGAGACTCAAGAAAAGTGGGACAACAGGAATTCCTTGGCAAGAAAAACAAAAGGAGATGTCTTGGGCCAGATATGCATAGCCCAAGAATGATTGTAATGTATGTTACAATAACATCCCAAATCCACAAAACAGGGATTCCTTTATTGGGGTCAACCCAAATGCACAAAATACGTGATGCAAGCTTTTGAAGGCCCACTGTGGCATTAGGCTTAGGACGTTATTCCACGTGGGCCAGAAAGCGATAATAAAGTGGAAATGAGGC